GGCAGGTAGAGAATTCCGGCAGACATCGACGGTGGCAACAGTCGTGACGTTGGCCGGACGTCCGAACTTCGATGTGATGTGACGAGTTTTAAGAGCCTCGAAGGTTCGGCAGCGGTTAATCACGTCGGCCACGCATTCCAGGCTCTCCTTGCCAATGAGGAAGTGGTAGACGTCATCGGCGATGCCCTTGAGTATATGGCCCACTTTGTATTCTTCCGTCATGTGGGCATCCACCGACTTGCACAACTTCAGAATCTCTTCAATGTAGGTTCTGCATGTCTCACCGGTGACTTGAGCCCTCTGCGACAACGTCTGCTCGGCACGTTTCTTCTTCGTTGCTGGGTCTCCAAAGCACTTCTTAATTTCCTCCACAAACTGGTCCCAGGTTGTCAATGTGTTTTCATGGTTCTCAAACCATACCAGCAATGTGAAATAAAGGAAGAGCCCCACGTGAGACAGCTGGCTAGCCGCATTCCAACCGTTCGAACGGCTCACCCGCTGATAGTGGCTTGGCCATTTGTCCCCGTCATCACTGGGTTTCCCTGTGAAGGTTCGCGGCTCCCTGTAGTGGTAGGGCGACGTCCTTGCGGCTGGTTGCTGGTTGTCTCCATCCGAGCTCATTTCTTGAGGTAATGTTGCCAAGCCCGCTAGACGACGGCTGCGGTGAAGCTCGTGTAGCGGTTCCGTCGTTAGGAGACGATGCCCCTCCGGTATCACTTGGTAGTAGCTAGCTTACCCAGCACTTTCCACCACAATTGTGACGATGGAACGCGTTTATTTACAAGATGGGCAATGCAGAGGTGTAGCTCAGCGAAGGATCCACAGCGTCGCTCGCGAGCCAGTCGAGTCTCTTCTTCCTCTTCGTCGAATCTTCGCTAGCGCGTTTCAATATCCTTAACCCCCGTTTGTTCCCTAATCCACTCTGCTCTCTTCTTGTCTCTTAAGGTTACACCTATAATTTTTCTTTCCATTGCTCGCTGCGTCGTCCTCAATTTAAGCTGAACCCTCTTTGTAAGTCTCCAGGTTTCTGCTCCGTAGCTAAGTACCGGCAAGATACAGCTGTTATATACCTTTCTCTTGAGGAATAGTGGCAAAATGTGCTCCACCCCATTCTTATTCTTGTAGTTACTTCAATCTCGTGGTTCGGCTCCGCGGTTACTACCTGCCCTAAGAAGACATAGTCTTTTACAACTTGAAGTGGACTATTACCTATCTTGAAGCGCTGCTCTTTTCCGAGGTTGTTGTACATTACTTTTGTTTTCTGCAGATTCATTCTAAGACTCACCTTTCTGCTCTCCTTGTCTAACTCCGTAATCATGAGTTGCAATTTGTCCCCTGAGTTACTCAGCAATGCAATATCATCGGCGAAGCGCAGGTTACTAAGGTACTCTTCATTAACTCTTATCCCCAACTGTTCCCAATCTAGGCTTCTGAAAACCTCCTGTAAGCACGCGGTAAATAGCATTGGGGAGATTGTGTCCCCCTGCCTTACACCCTTCTTGATTGGTATTCTGTTGCTTTCTTTATGAAGCACTATGGTAGCAGTTGATCCCCTGTAGATTTCTGCCAAGATGTTTATATATACTTCATCGACGCCCTGATTCTGCAGTGTCTGCATGACGGCTGATATTTCTACTGAATCAAACGCCTTCTCGTAATCTATGACGGCTATGTATAGTGGTTGGTTATATTCTGAGCATTTCTCTATTACCTGATTGATAGTATGAATGTGGTCGATTGTCGAGTAGCCTGTTCGAAATCCTGCTTGTTCCTTTGGTTGATTGAATTCTAATGTTTTCTTTACTCTGTTAGTAATTACCTTTGTAAATAGCTTGTATACTACAGAAAGCAAGCTAATCGGCCTGGAATTCTTCAAGTCCTTGTCATCTCCTTTCTTATGTATTAAGATGATGTTAGCGTTTTTCCAAGACTCTGGTACTCTTCCCGTCAAAAGACACCTCGTAAACAGGGTGGCTAGTTTTTCTAACACAATCTGTCCTCCATCTTTCAGCAGATCTGATGTTACCTGATTCTCACCAGCAGCTTTGCCTCTTTGCATGCTCTCCAAAGCTTTTCTGACTTCTTCTATCATTACTGGTGGCGTGTCATCTGGGTTACTGCTAGTTCTTATAATATTAAAGTCGTGGTTGTCCCCGCTACTGTACAGATCTCTGTAAAACTCCTCCGCTATTTTAACTATCCTATCTATATTAGTAGTTATTTTGCCTTCTTTGTCCCTTAGTGCATACATCAAATTTTCGCCTATCCGAAGTTTTCTCTTCACTGCTTTAACGCTTCCTCTGTTTTTCAGAGCGTGTTCAATTCTCTCCATATTATACCTTCTTACATCGGATACCTTACGCCTATTAATCAACTTCGAAAGCTCTGCCAGTTCTATTTGGTCTGTTGTACTTGAGACTTTCATGATTTGACGCTTCTTAATGAGATTTTTCGTTTTCTGGGAAAGCTTTCCAGTGTCCTGTCTAACTACCCTGCCTCCAACTTCAACTGCACACTCCGTAATGATACTCGTCAGATTATCATTCTTTGTATCTATGCTAAGGTTGGTTTCCTCACTAAGAGCCGAGTACCTGTTCTGAAGCGAGACTCTGAATTCCTGTATTTTACCTCTCAGTGCTAGCTCATTGATTGGCTTCATGCATATCAGTTTCTGTCGTTCCTTTCTCAAGTCTAGGCGAATTCAAGACCGTACCATTTTATGGTCACTGCATTGTACCTTGCCAACCACTTCCACATCATGCACCCACCTCCAAAAATTGCATGCCCCATCTGCCCCAGTTTGGGGTAGTGGCAGGGGCCAGCACGAGCGCAGTGCAATGCCCGCGCCTCTCCCTGGGGGCTCCGCCTAGTTGATCACGGTGGCCCCGGCACCAGGTAAGTTACGTAGTCGCTGAAATTTATGACCATCTCCCATCCGACCAGGATGCAGCGGTGGCGTAGAGCTCGAAGAGGTTTAACCAGTCTTTGACGGGTCCGTCCTCCGTTGATCTGGTGTACTGGGGGATGTCAAGGCCAGCCGATGGTTCTGACATGATGCTGGTCGATGCGTAGTGCTAGGCGCTTGTAAGGTAGTCCATGTATGGTCAGGGTGTCTTGCGGAGAACTGCGTTGATGCTGAGCGACTGATGAAGGGGCAGGCAGGTCTCCATCCTGTTGACTCGTGTGACGCTATGATGACTGATACGTGGCCTGGCTCATACCTCTTGTTTATTCCACTGTCACTTCTTTTTCATCAGCCTCTACCATCAGTCACTGCTGCCTTCATACGACACACATATATATCCAAACTTTATGCAGAAAGAAAAAGTGTCCAGGGAGCGGGTGGGTGGGGCCCCTATTCTAGGGATCTACTGGTTTGAGTTGCGCGCCGCGCCGGTTCGAGGAGCGCTAGTTGCGCCGCCGATTTTCACTGGTGAGCAAAGTCTCCCACTGCTGCCTTCGGAAATTTTGCCAACTATTTGCAGTGAGTTAATTTCGGGTGGCCTGTTTTGGCTATCCCACCTTACGTGGGCGAGAGTGGGCCTGCCCCCCCACCACAAACAGCTACTGCTGTAAATTGTGGAGCGAACGGCATATTGCAAATAAAGGTTTGGATACGTATGTGTTTGTATATACACATGTAAAACTGAAACCTTTCGGGTGGTTTGAATGCCCCCTTCTCCCGCCAGCTACGCCCATGCCAGAGCCTTAGCAGTATTTCGTAACTAGGTTGAAATATGGCAGTGACAGCAGTAATCACGGAGAGGCCTTGTCACCTGCTTCGGCATAAAACTGAGTCATAAAAACTGACAAGTGTTGAACCGAATGCCACAAATACTGCTAAAGATATAATGAACCAGACAAACCTTTCATCACAATATGGGTGTATCCATTGAAAGCATGTAAGAATTAGCGTTGATTGCTTTATCCACAAGATCGATTTAAGCGAACACAACACTTGTGCCTGTTAATCGTGAAGCCGAATGCAGTCGTGTTCCCCACCTTCATTTAAGAAGGCAGATGCAGCATTGTGAAAACTGTAAGTTGAAAAAAGAAAGCCTTCATTCTGTAATGACTGCAGCATCTGTAGTCTCATAAAAGTTTAACGTAAAGTTTACACTGGGTGCGTCGCCTTCTGCATCGTCCGTACTTTTTGTTGTCAGTCATACCCAGGGGATGGATTACCAATGTTCCCAAAATGTTGCTCTATTTAGGTTCAATTTGTTAACTTGAAGCTTTGTATTTTCAGCACACCGAGGTGTATTAATGAGCCAATGCATACGCCTTTGATTCATTTCGTGTGACTTCAGGTAGAATAAGCATATTGCTAACACTGTGAATAGTTAACCTTGTCAGTGGCAAACAGTCTCTCATCTCTGGTTTTCCAATCTATACTTTTGCGCATGCATTAGGCATGTTGTGGCAGACACGGTGCTCAGGACATGCTTTGTGTTTGTAACTGTTTCTTTGGAAAAAAGAATGAATAAACTTCACCGGACCAATCAACTACCTAGCCTTGTTGGTCTGCTGGTAATTGCTGTTTCGAAATGAGTAACTATTGGCTTGATTTCTCAAACAATTGTGCACACCATGAATTCGTAAAAACTGTTTCTTTGGAAAAGAATGAATGAACTTCACTAAGAAAACGTAAACAAAGTCAAGACGCGCGAAAACACAACCGAGTGATAACCGGAGCGAAACCAACCTAAACTTAACGTTTGACTCAATTTACACAGAGCTAGTTCGGTGATCTTCTTGCGAACTAGTTGCTCATCCTCATCACTCAATATTACTCCACTCGCAACAAGCGGGAACACAATCGTTTACTGCGTTACTCTGTACCATCAACATTCTGCATGGCGTACATGTGTTCGTCAGCGATTGAAGTTCGAAAACTCTCAGTTTTCACAAGCAGCGCGGTTACATAGATTCGAATATAATAAAGATGGTCACTGCCAAACACCACCAATCGGTTAAAGGCAAAAACAAGATAATTTTACCTGTTTACGCAGCGCTTTATACACTGAATGACGAATATTGACCCACGGTACCACGGAAATTGCGCGAAACACGGTCAGACATGACATACGCGATGTTTATATCGTTAGTTCCAATTCCGGGAAAGAGCAATGAAAGTAGTATAAAAAACAAAACCACAGCGCTTAAACAAGTATAAAATTTTGCACGTAATAAGTTTGTGTGCTTTGTTTATGCTTCATATGCAACCGCGAAAGCATTGGGTGCTTGTTTTATTATAAATTCAATAGGATACTTCACATCGCCGATGCTATGTGTCGCTACATGCGCTTCTTCAGACTTTCGCGTGTCGCTGCTCGTGCCATGCATAGACGCTTGAGCAAAATTCTGTCAAATTGAGGTTGTTTTCTGCCTTCCAGCCGGGCTTCCTCATGGCGATCACCCTGTACAACTTGTTTGAAGCTGCGCTATTATGTATCAATGCCATCGCCGTGCTGCACGAGAAACGATTTCTGGAGAAGAGTAAGAGAATTTGTTGTATCGTTGACCAGCAGTGTGGTGTGAAATATTTGTGCAATGTAAGACAGTCTTCTGGAAGCAAATTTCCTTTTTTCTTTCAGTAAACTGGGGCAGAGAGCAAGCCGCACATGGGTTCGAGCCTGGTGCTAAGTCGCAGATAATTAACCTGATTCATTCTGTGCGGACGGTTATGAGGAGTAAGTTTCGTCACCGTTTTGGTGATCTCATATTGTGCTTGTAAAAACCACATTTTGATCCCTGTGCAAGGTAACTTCGATTGACGCCTGCGATATAGAGAACATTACTAGCAGCTGTGAAATGACCACAAGGACATAATCCCTAGCAGGAAGACGTAAACAATGTTCATGTAAGGTTAGGCGTTGGCTGAATTTGCTGAATGTTTTCTCTGGTTCTCGGTGTGCTATTTCAGCGCTGTTGGAATGACTTTCGTTTGTTTTGCAGTTGTTTTGAGCTAGTGTTTTATGATGAAACATGACACACTTATTGTGTTGTAGCGACTGTTCTTAAACTTCATAGACTGTGCGTAATATGGAACACATTTTCTTTTTCAGTACCTCTAATCTTCATCAATGCCTTGATCATCATTTTCAAGCTACTCTTTGGGTGATTAATGGCTTCGATGGGCGCTGCGCCTTCCTTTCGTGCAAATGCAATTCGCTGTACATGTGTGCTTGTCAGGTGAATAAAATTTCTGGCTATTTTTGTATCTAATGGGGCCGATTTCCTTTCTGGTAAAAGCCTGGGGGTAGATCCCAACTGACGTTTTGCATTGAAACACAATTTCTTTTTTTGTTCTTGTGTTATATAAAAGTTCGGTTCTTCGTGTATGTGTTGGCGTGTGTGTGCATACATGTGCAAAATGTAAAAATAAGGTGGGTGGTGCTTCAACCTCCCAAACCAGTCTCCTGGCTACACCACTGTATAGGAACATTGTTGCAGTAACCTGCAGTTCAGAAGAAACTCGAAATAGCTGCATATTTGTGGTAGCTAAAAGGGATGGCATGCTGGCAGGTGCCTCTGCATATTGTTTCCACACTTTCCTCGCAACCTCATGCAATTTTCTAAAGTGTTCCCTATTTTTGTAAATGAATATTGTCATATAACTAAAAGCCTCGGCCCATCACCATTTATTGGTAAATCTCTCAAATGGGGCAGTGGCAATCTTTAGTGGGTGTTGTAGCACATGCTGCACTTTTTTTTTTTTTTAACAATCAAGGAACACATTGATTCCAGCTTTTCTGAAGTCTACTGGTGGACAACAGATGAGCCAACGAAAGTGATGTGATGACTGCTTAGTTTGTAATTCTTCTGTCTGATGGTACAACCCATTGTTATTCGTGAATGGACAAGCATTGATCAGTAGGTGAGGATATAACTTGAAACCAAATGAACTAATATACATTTTGAGTAGCTAACCTCTAGAGATACGCATGAGTATGAAACACTTGTTTAACATGAGGCAATTGCATGTGATGGCAGTAGGTTTCAGGCCGATTCTCACACCTTCCTACTTAGGTTCCCAGTGCAAGTTGTCGAATGAGGGCTTTTTTCGTGCCTCCTTTTCAGGAGACTAGTGCAGATGCAGATACTATGACTCCTCTTTGGGTATCCTACCTTTCTCTGACAGACCACAATGCAACTGCTTCATACCCAATTAACCATGTCAGTGTTTTAGAAACCTTTGAGCTGTTTCTGTGGGTGGCACTAAAGAGAAAGACAAAAGTGCAATATGCAAAGCCCTCAATTTTAGCAGGCAATTGTCGCTAGATATGCCCATTCCCACTGTTGAACTTGCTTTTCTAATTTCTGCACACGAAAAGGGGTAATCTGTAGCTTAACTTGTTGTCACCGTCATTCTCTGTTCTACTTCAAATCCTTTTGTATTCACGACCATTTTTTATTCTTGTATTGATATTAGTGAGTTGGAGTGCTCGTGGTCTCTTTCACTATGATGAGGAAAAGTTTTGAGATGAAGTGCACATGTTCGAATCTTCATGTGTATTGTAGATTTACACAGAAGCTCTTCAGGAGGGTCAGAGCTCTCGTGAAGCATTTATTTAAATGCTATTTGACCTAATGCAATATGTTGTACAGATGCCTTCATTGTCAGCCTGCATGTATGATAATTTTGTACAGTGTACTTTATGAATTCAATCATTGGTACGCTATGCCAAAACAGCATTTCTAGCAACAGCATATGGTGAGGAGATGTAGTAAAATCACTGAAATGAAACGAGTGTTTGATGTACGCCAAAAGAATAGTGGCTAGGCGAAGTACATGCAGAGAGATGTACAACAATAAAGTTGGATTTCGTCGGCCCATTTCACAGCTGCATAGTGACCTAATAAAAACTGGTGCCTTCATATCTTCTCGATAATGCTGAACAATGTGAAGCATGCACCTATGCCCACAAAAGACTATTTAGGTTTGATCTGAGAAGCATACATGGAATTTTAACCTGATGGCTGGAGCGTTGGGCTCTAGTGCCAAGAGACTGCAGTTTGATGGCACCATCAGGCATGCAGTTATATTTTTTTCTTTTTCTAACAGTTATGGTCAGCAGAGTCTTAAGGTTGGCAAAAACATATGTCTATTAGAAGCCATAAAAAATGAATAAAGTGTACCCTGTTGTATTTCTTCTACTCGGAACATGTAGAAACACAATCACTGGTTCAGTTCTGTGGCATTCGAACGTTCGACTTAGTTTGCTTGCCTAGCTTGCCTGGTAAATTTTCAGAACTTGCCGTTTTATGTGGTCAAGCGAGCTGCTTGGTTAAACTATTACGGTTTTGCCACCTGTTTGTGACTAAAATAAACATAAAATGCACACTTCAGTCAATTCTTGTGGTTTTGTGTAATGCAACATGGTTAACCCTATATATTACCCCAGCATTATCAGATAGTTGTGATAATTGTATGTAATTATACAGAATAATGAGCATATGCTTACATATACTCTTGTTTTTGATAAATATCTATGTTAATTGTATGTTTCTCACACATCTAGGAGGTTACATAAGATAATAAAACTGTTAAAGAAGCAGTTGCTGGTTGCCTGTTCATGATTGATAAGTAGTGGTCATTTGTGTGCACATGAGATGCTGGCGTGTAGGCATGCGCGTCGGCAGGATTTTGTCTGGGAGGGGGGGGACAAAAGCCCGTGTTTGATTGCGATGGGGGAGGGTGGAATCGCTTGGGTAGAAGGGACAGTCCTGGAGTAGCTTAGGGAAGCAAGTGCCCCTTTTGCACCCTTCCCCAATGCTGAAGCCCGTGCTTGTAAGGTAAGCATGAAGATGTGGTTGAGAGTTTGACAGCTGTAGGATAAACAAACACAGCAGATTGTGCAGCTGAGCTTTTAACTGTTGCCACAATAAATGGCGTTAATGTGTTTTTTTTTTCTCACAAGCTGGCCTAGTGCAACAAAACATTTAAAGTGGTCGTGAACCTTTTCAAATGATCAGCGAATGACTTCAAGTGTATTGCCTCGCGAATCCACTGCCTGAAAAATTCTCGAATTCATGATATAGAAGAGTTACAGGGATTCGTCACACGCGTTGAGCGTTTTCACACTCTCCCCTCGTCGACGAGTACGCCGGACGCGAACAATTTTAGATGCGAAGCAGCTCTTTGACTAGCCTGTGTAATGCTATCCCTCCGTACACCCGCAGTGCGCATGCCCTAGTCTCGTGCCGGCCCAGGAAGACACACAGGGTGCTATTCTAGACACACCATATTGTCACGCCATATTGTCAAATTTCGTAATGGCGCCATTTTAGGCCAATCAGAGAGGTCATAGCAGGCCACTGGGCCAATCAGCATCGGTCAGCGGCGGAATGTGACAACATGGTGGACGATAGTTATAGTGCGAGAACAATACGACGACACAGAGACAAGAAGGACACGAAAGTAACATGGTGGAATTTGACAGTGTGCAGAATAACGCCCTCGCAAAACCGTCGCTCCCCTTTCTCTCTCTCGCCTCGCAGGCAGCGTCTGCTAGTAAACACACACACACAACACACACACTGCTCGCGCTGTTTTACTTGGCTTTCGCTTCATGAGCGCCAGCGTCAACGTCGCCGCCAGTGTAAGAGTTAGCGCCCGCTGCTTCGCGTCTGCGTGTGGTTCCCTTTAGCGGAAGATGGTCCAATGTTTTGTGTGAAATTCTATGCTACAGAGGGCGGGAAAACACTGCAATGACACGGTGGAAAGCAGTTACGTCAGCGTACGTGATGAAACGCGATCGCCCTCTCCCGTTGTAATTCGGCGCCAGCTCTGCGTAACTACTAGCCACCATACTATAGTGGCTACTGTGCAATGTTGGCAGACTATAGAGCTCGACGTTGATACATGGCGCCACCCCGTGGTAGTACACTGTACCCGTGGCAAGGAGCGCATTTGATGCAAAGCGCGCTATTCCACGTATAGTCCAGTCACAGCCGCCGGATGAAAAATCGCATGGTGTGGTCCAGTTATTGTGTCAGTATGTGTCAGTTAATTGCGTCAGTCGTTGTAGGCTGTCTTATTAGCGGATCTGTTTAAGCCGACCGTTAGTATGGGCAGAGTGAGCAGAAAACCATAATCAACACGACCCTGCAAGTGAGCTCTCGCCCTCTTCTTCATCTTGTGCTTCGCTCGCAGAACACGTGTGCCTATTTATTTGTCTTGCCTGGGATGCAATAACTGATGGGCGAAAGAATGAAGTTGAAAGAAAGAGACAGCGAAATAAATAGGCAGGGACAGATATAGAAACAAACAGGCGCGATAAGAAAAAACTAAACTCAAAGACAAAGAGTGTCAGAAAAAAAAAGCGGAAAATAAGAAGAAAGAAAGAAAATATATGAAGGACACAAATGTAAACAAGCCTACAAAAGTGCGATATAAGAAAAGAGAAAAAAAAAGAAACGAGGCAGGCCACCCAGCTACGCACCTCCTTCAGGCTTGACACCACCAGTGTGAACCGCTTTGAATTTTTTTTCTAGAATATGGAGTTGCTGTAATTCAGTAAAACTTCACTTTGCGAGAAATGTAACTTTAATTAGCGAGATATTATTACAAGCTGGATGGATATATTATGGGAATATGAATGTAAGAATGCCATGCATATTCCCGAAATCCTGATTTAGGCAATTTTTTTAAATATGCCACCTTAATTGACGATATTGGAAAGCTTTGTCGCTCTAAACGAAAAATGAAAAAAAAATGGCAGCATATCCACGGAGTGAATGACGGGAAGTGGGGCGAAGCATTCGTCCGTCCATTCGTTCTTGCTTCCGTCCGTTCCTGCGTACGTCTGTGTAACCGTCCATGCGTCCATCCACCCGTCCGCGCGTGCGTCTGTTCGTGCGTCCGTCCCTGCGTTCGTCCATGCATCCGCGCCTGCGTCCGTTCATGCGTCCATCCATGCATCTGTCTGTGTGTCCGTTCGTCCATCTATTCAGCACTCCAAGTACCACCATCTCGCATCTTTTCATCATATATTCTCCATATAGAAGCACCGCCATCCAGCGGACATTCCAAGGACTAAACGGGAGGTGGCACATGCACACTTTCTTACGGCTTGCGCTTCGGGTTTACTTCCCACCTTTAACCACCTCGAGTTCATGGTATATACTAGTTCACTGTATTCATGGCTATGCGGCCCAACGCTCGCTAAACCTTTCTAAAACCAAGGAGGTTACACCCAGCGAGTATAACGTAGCAACCCTTTCTTGTCAGATCGTGCTCAATGTACATGCCAATAGCTGCTAATGGGGATCGCAGCGTGCGCGTTACCTAAAGGCCGTATGCTCCTGTCTCTCATTCCCCCGTCGCAGCCATTAACATGTGCATTGAGCACTATCTTTTTGTTCAACAACGCACAGAAGAAATCTCTCACCGGAACCACCTTGGAAATCAAAATCGTAAGGACCGCTATTTCGGGTATGTGCCACTGGTGGTTACGTACTACGAGGGACGCACAAGCCACGCCATAAGGAGCTTCGCCCCTAAAACTTTCAAGGGTATCATTGCTTCACCTGGCACACCCTGTGCAATGCTCTTTTCTGGTGGCTTTTCACTGCAAAGTGAGTGATCGCCTTGCAGCTGACCCTGGGTTCTAAGATTACTTTTATTAGGCCCGAGAACCCGGCAGCCGAAAGCTACGATAAACTAAGAATGACGAAGCTCATACGCGACAACGATGAAGATGCATGACCAACACATGATGATTAGAATGATGTACAGATGAAGAGGATGGGTAAAGTGCCCAATATATATATATATATATATATATATATATATATATATATATATATATATATATATATATATATATATATATATATATATATATATATATATATATTGCCATCATTCTAAAATAAAATGAGGTGGTCTAAATTTCCGGAGCCCTCCACTACGGCGTCTCTCATAATCATATGGTGGTTTTGGGACGTTAAACCCCACAAATCAATCTAAAATAAAATGATGGCTCGCAATCGTATGCCTAGAGTCACGAGACGCTCTTCGTCTTCAGATAGCAAAGTATTCGTTGAATTTTCAATATGCTGCGATAGCAAATACATGAAAAATCTGGACGGGATTTTTGTCATTGGCATTGCTGTCATGTTCTGTACAAAGTTTACATCGATAACATCGCCACGTACACCGTATACGCGTGAGTAAAAGCTTGCAATCGCTTGGGACCACTGTGGCTGAAGCAGAAATGAAGGGAACGGGTCATCTCAGTCGCACGAAGGGCGCTTGCGATAACATCGCCCCGCGTGCAAGGCCAGCGGTCGATTGCTCCTCAAGCAGAGAGGACGCGTCCCGGCTGTCTTTCCTCGAGCAAAGGAGTGGGATGGGGTGTCACGCTAGGGGAAGGAGGCCTCGTCACGCTCGTGTGACAATTGCAACATGCGAACATTGCAGGCGCTGCGCCGGGCTCCTACCGAAGCTGCAGAAATTAGGAGCCTTTTAAAGACGATAGTCTTTCTTCGGGACCTTCGACGCAAAAATTTAGATTTGTCTGTTTGTCTACCCGTAACGATACCGGGTACTCTAAACAGGATCAGCCGATACCCCTAACGGCCGACCCCATCCGCAGCGCCCACCAATGTTGTTCAAGCTTCAGCGTTCATACTTGTGCGATTGTCAAATAAAAAGCGATTATTGCGCTATCCGAGGCACCACAACAACACGTATATATCTGTAGGTGCGTCTTTTACTAGAAAAGGCATACATAATTAATTCTGAGGACCGTAGCGTTCGTTTATCACGCTGCGCTGACCACGCAACGCTTGCGCGAAAAGGCAAGTGTTGCCAACGCTATGCTAAGACGACACGGTGGTGGCACCTACCCATCGCGTTGCGTTCTACACCTTATCACCTCTTCTCAGAGCCGCACGCTTCGTTTTCCAAGATAACTGCCAGATAGCGCTCATGTCTCACGTGTGACGTGACTTGATACTCTCGTTCTCCTCCGCTGCACGCTTGAGGCACTCTAACGCAGCGCTTCCAGAATACCATTCACCGATTTTCTAGCGCAGAACACCAAATAAACGTTTCTTCACTCTCTCCAGACGCAGTACTATCGTCTTTCGACGACATTTGCAGATTAACATGCAGATACGAGGTCAATTTTTTCCTCTTCTAACCACTACCACCACCGTGGCGCTGTCTGAGCGCTAGCACGTGCGCCATATCAAGAGACATGGGAACACGGGGTACCCCACAGGGAGCAGTGTTATCACCGCTCCTTTTCAACATTGCTATGATGCGCCTTCCAAGCGAATTGGCCAGGGTGGAAGGCACACAACACGCAGTATATGCCGATGATATTACAATCTGAACCACTGAAGGGAGCCTTGGTGAAATGCAGGAACGCCTTCAGCAGGCCGCGTCCATAGTCGAGGCGTATGCCAACGATTGTGGACTTCAATGTGCTCCAAACAAATCAGAGCTTCTGCATGTTAGAGCGAAGCCAAGATATAAGTCAGCCATACACATCTCCCTGTCTGGGGTTCCCATCAGAGAGGTGGAGGAGCTCCGGATTCTGGGCCT